CCCCCCCCCAAAGTTTAGAGCCTACCAGCCCCCACTGCAACCCCACTGCAACCCTTACCTGGCACTCGCGGCCTCACAATTACTTCATTAAGATTGTGAACGTGAGAGAATCAGTGAGCAAGAGATGAAAGCATAGCAAGCCAGTTCAGGGAGAAAAAACAAAATTGGAAGAGGGAGAGAAACTTCCAAGAGAGCGAAAAACTGAAAGACGGAGAGAAAAGGAGTGTAGAAAAGTGGGTAATCCTCACATCATCATAAAAAAGGAAAAACAAAAGTCTGGACATTGGACAACCCACAAATCAGACCTAATTTCACCCAAAGCAAAAAAAAAGGCTCAGCTCAATGCATGGGCCAGTCGGCTGAGCGAGCGTGCCCAATCCTACACCTCAACCCCGACGTCAGAACACAACCGGAAGAGTATGGCCCCAGTCCCATCCTAGTAGAAAGTTCTGACAGATCCTTCAGACGACTGACAACCTGAGCTTCAAAGGTGAAACCCTCCAGACAGGTCAGGAAACTGTAGAGGGACCGTCTTGCCGACCAGTCAATGCTTCAGGTCCACCGATGGAGCTTATGCGTTTCTTCTTACTGCAAAAAACAGTATTTAACATTTTTTAACTTTTTTAACTTTTTATTATTATTATTGATTTTTGGCCCGGCCAGGCAAGTGCCCTTATAATTGTCTTTTTTTTTTTTTTTTTTTTTTTTTAATATTTTTTTTTTTTTTTTTTTTTTTTTTTTTTTTTTTTTTTTTTTTTTTTTTTTTTTTTTTTTTTTTTTTTTTTTTTGAACAAATGCTCCAGTCTATTCGTGGGGAGCAGCACATGACAATGCCCTTGTGCTCTTTTCGGCTAAGTTTGTGGGTTGTTGGGACTATTGGCTTCCATTTCTTACACAGTGCAGTCATATTCTGTAGACTGTGTCTGGTTTCGAGTGCGGGACCTTTTGATTTCTGTCTGGCCTTGAATCATTTTGTCGTCTTCGGCAGGTTTCGAACTGAGGTTCTGCGGATCTTTTGTCCTGCCTTGGTTGGCAGGCCTGGGTTCGAACTGACGACTTTTTGGATACTTGAGCGGGACGGATCGGGTTCTGGTGTCTACAACGTTTTTGCTGAGGCTGATCGATGCTTTCAAGGGTCTGGAATGTTTTTGATTCGGATTGATCGCTGGAGCCCTGATGCTTTTATTTGTTTTTTCTTGAATGGTCTCTCCCGACGTTCTTGGCAAGATGAAATTCTGCTGTGAATGGACCGGACAGTACTAGTCCCGAGGTCCTGGATATTTTCGATGAGCGTAGACCGCAGGGTATTTACTATTTTTAGTCCCGAGGTCTGGTGTTCGATGCGGCTTGGCGTTCGGTGTAGTTTTTACCTTCTAGCCTAGAGTATGCTTCGACTTTGCTTACCGTTGACTTAGGACTAGAATGATATGTCGGTGCCTTTAGGTCTAGGCCTAAGCAGGTATATAGAAAGGTAGCTGTAGGCCTAAGCAGGTATATAGAAAGGTAGCTGTAGGCCTAAGCAGGTAAATAGAAAGGTAGCTGTAGGCCTAAGCAGGTATATAGAAAGGTAGCTGTAGGCCTAAGCAGGTA